TCCTCCCCTAAACACAGGAATGACAGTAAAGACAGGAATAATCATCGCAAATTCGGAATGCGACCAATCAGATCTGTCTCCTGCACCTGTGGCCTTGGTGGCAGTTGCCAGTAAAGTGTTCTGGCAGTCTGGGGACAGCTCGAATCACCCGCTTGTCTATTTATGCCAGAATTCCCACTGTTGCCTACTAACCTCCAGTCGGAGACCTCATCGAAAGCAAGCAGACGCCACAGGAGCCTGCGTATAGAACCCGAAGTGTCTCGTTCTGTGACTTGCAGGTCGGCTCTATAAGAAGTCCACCGGAACGGTCATCAAAGTCTTGCGGTGTTCTGCTCTATGGAGTTCTTCACCTGCAGTGAGTTACCGATCTCATGAAATGTTGGCTGAAATTCTGAAATGCCTTTTCTATTCGGAAGGATTACTTAGGTGGGGTTGTAATACTGATTAGCATGCGGCATAATCCAGTAATATTTCGGACTCGGCAGGATATCCGCTTTTGAAGACATTTCTTTTTAACCTCCTGCAAAACCCACACTCGGTAAAGAAAATGACTATTTAAATAGCACGCATTTTTCGCATTGATGTTCGATGGTCTTATAAAGTCAAATATATTTAATAGAAAGTATGCACAAAAATATACTTTCTTCTACTCATTTCGTGGCAAATCACGTCGACATTACATTTTATGCCCGGGAAAAGGTACATTTAGGTTTCAAAAAGTTTTTAATTATACGATTTTTAAGACCGTTCAATGTACATTCATACAGCATCGCACCATCACTCCTCATGAAATGTACAACCTAGTCCGCACTCATTGCAAAATTTCATGAACCCCAAAGGGTATCTTACTAAAAGCCTAGAGAAATAAATTATTTTCCTTACACAGAAAGCATGCGCCTTGTAGACTGAAATCGCTAAACGCTAACGCAACGTCTGGTCAGGCTTAAAAGTATTCGGGGATTGGAAAACTTTTTTAAAACCTAGATATACCCTGTCTTCATGCATAAAATATTAAGTCGACGTGATTTGCCACCAAACAAGTAGATGAAAGCATAATTTCGTGCATACTTTCTATAAAATATATTTGACTTTATAATACCATCGAAAATCAATGCGAAAAATGCGTGCTATTTAAGTAGTCATTTTTTACCGAGTATGGGTTTTGCAGGAGATCGAAAAGAAATGCATTCAAAAGCCGACATCCTAGCAAGTCCCAAACATTACTGGATTATGCCGCATGATAATCAGTATTACAAACCCACCTAAGTAATCCTTCCAAATCGAAAACGCATTTCAAAATTTCAGCCAACGCTTCATGAGATCGGTCACCCAGTGTACTTATTCACGGGATTTCATTCGAGATTTTCGCGGCATGTCGTCACAGATCGTCACCACAATCATTACCCCACCACTGTGTGAGTTCTGGTCCATAACAGTCTGTCCTAACCGTTCAATATCCGATCTGGCTTTCGACAAGGTTGTACCCTGTTGCCCATTCTGCTCAACTACATCATTGGCTGTATTCTCTGAAGGTCCCTATGTAATTTCGACGGTGTTGAGTTCGCACCCGGGCGCTGATTGTCTGATCTAGACCATGCTGACGATATCGCCTTGCTAGCCTCTCAAGCTTTGGTGATCTGCAGTCTGTGGTATAATGGGTAAATGTAGTCGTCAAATCTGCCGTTTTATCAATAAACGCGGAAAAAACTAAAGTGTTTTTGAGGTACATTCCTGACCAGGAGAAGGCAACCCTCAGAATGACTGTCAACTTGAAGAGGTAGACAATTTCAGATACCCCGGGGCGAGGCTTCCGTCTAATGGTCATGGTAAGGGCGACACTGTCTTCGGAATAGATGTTGCTTTCAGCGTTTTCTCAATCCTTAGAAAGTGCTTGACGCGATGTCTCTATCGTCACGGATGTCCGCGTGTGTTGTGCATCCACCCGGTCAGTTCTCGTGGATAATGAATTAAAACCGGAGGTATTTGTCCATTGCTGCCTGAGGATCTTCCTAAGAGTGAATTACACTAACTTCGACTTCTTTGCCCCTCAGTTACGGGTCGGATGTTTTTTTTTTGAAAACACTTTCAGAGAGCGGATCACAACCGCCTGCTCTGGACTCCAGAATTGGAGCCGGCTACTTCATCCCTTTTGGTACTTCACAAGTCGCTTTGTTGGTGTCAACACAAACTACGGTAATCTTTTCATGGTTTACCACTTCACTTGTATGCCTTACTACCTGCACCTACGGAGGGCGAATAATGCTCACAGGCAACTAGCTCCAGCATGCCCAGAAGGGTTCATTAGTTTCATTCATTCTATCTGCTATTTCTCCCTCTCACTCTCTTTCTCCCGTTACATAAACGCATTCGGACCGGAACAGCCTTTCCAACATCCTGAAGTATATTTAGGAATATCAAAGTAAACTTTGAACGGTAAACCGTTGAACAGAGGCGAGTAGGTTTACTGATGCCCATTACCATTGCAAAGGAGTACTCAAGGAAATCCGATGTAAGCTCAAAGTGTTAGACAGCAAAATGACCGTCCTGTGATCACTCTCCAAGGATCGCAATTGATATCAACCATTGATGCGTAGCTTGCCTCTCATAGCTCCCCTCTCACTCCGAAAGCCTCGTGGGTCATTTTCTTTACGGATTCCGCAGTCAGTTGGCCATACTACTAACCTGCTTTGTGTGAAAGCCCGGGTGGTATCCTGTCTGGTGGTCTGTCGTTGGCAGTTTTTCATTCCATCACTGGGTGGTGCACTCCCTTCCGTCTGCATTTCCAGATTTGTCTTCATCCTCAACTTCACCGGTGGTTTCCTCGCTGTACTCTTGGTACCAACATCAGTTTTTGCATTGGGTCGTCAAGGCATGCGAAGGACCTCCTGTGCTTTGGCTAATTTGGGAGCTGGATGCGTCTGCGAGGTCTCAGATTTACAGGCCCTTCCACAGGCAAGCAATGATGAGTAAGTGGTTCGTTTTTACACGAGTTATAGTGCCTACTCATTATAGCCTAGTAGAAAGTGTATTTTACTCTTTCAGGTTTTCCGCGAAGATCTTAGAGCACATCAGCTGCGTGCGGGAGATTGTTGGTCCGGTCAGTGTTCCTGACTTTATTTTCTTCGTTTCCCGTGTCAACCTTTACTTCCCGTCTCTTACGAAAATTTGTTTCCCTCACAGTATTGTATGTGGGATTACGTTTATAGTCGTCTTTCTCTCCCACAAGACTGCTTCTAGTGTTAAAGACACGCCCTGCTCCTGGGTGGTCAAGCGTTTGCCCGCAATATTTGATTCTGTTTACAGAAACCAATCATTATTCAGATGAATGAAACAGATGGGATTCACTTGCTCTGAGTGTGGGGCAGGCGGGTCGCACTTCGAGTTCATGCGGTGGGATCGTTAGAGCGAAGGAGCTGTTGTCAGCGCACTGTATCACCGGGAGGGCGGGGGGGGGTTGGAAGCCCGCGGGAGGAGAAATAACGTGGGATCGTCATAAGCCAGTAATTTTGACTTGAAAGTGACTGGCGCATTTCACACTGGGCCTTCGTAATTCTCACTCAAGTAAACGTTATGGTTAGTGGTTCGACAGTTCGACCATCGGTTTCGATGATGTCCACCGTGTGCCCCACAGTTGCAGCAGCAATGGGAGCAGGGACGGTGATTTACGTAGGGGTTTATAGTGCCGGTAGACTTGCGTAGCATCTACCTACTCTCTCTCCTCCTCCCCCGCCTGGGCCCGGTGTCAAGACAGAGTCAAGAAGACCGAAGACGAGGGAGGCCGCAGGTGGATGGCTCGGATGGATCCTCACCTTGGCGTTCCACCACACCCTCTGGTCCACACAACAATGACCAGGATTTCAACCAACACAACAGAGATTTGGAGACTGGCACGGCCGAAGCCGCACCTGGGCGCGCCGCCGACGCCTGGCTCGGATCCCGCACTGTGGTGGGAGTGCCATAAAGGCCACATTAAAAAGGAGCCATTGCAGCCTGACTCTCAGACCGCCTCCGGTCAAAGAGGAGGTCAAAGTTACCCCGTCAGTTGGCAACCTTCCAAGCCACGGCTTTTAGCGCACCGTGATAGCTTCAAGCGCGTCAGATTGTCTATAGTGAGGAGAAAGTGCGCTGAGTCGTCGACCTCACTCTCCCTTCCCACTCCCACACCCCAGCCGCTGTCCGAGCCGGTCAGCAGACTGGAGTGGGGAATGGGCGCGGTGGCTGTCATGGTCGACTGACCATGACTGCGCGCGCCACGGCACTACCTGGCCCCCCATACACACAACACCAGGATTTCACACAACGGGGGTTGAACGGCGTGTCTCTCACTTGCGTGAGAGTGCCGTGGAAGGTGCTGTTTCAGCCCGTCCCCAGCCCACCAGTCCGCCACTCTACACAACACACACACACAACGCGACGAACTGCGTGAACCGAGAGCGGGCGTCAATCAGCAACCTTCCTATCCACGACGCTTGACGTGTCGGGATAGTCTCGGACTCAAGTGACCCGTGCAGCTGAAGCCGCCTGGGGATCGAGTCGAGATGCGGACTTCCCACTTGCGTGGGAGGTGGCAGTTGGGTGCATGTGGTGTGTGAGTGTTGATTTCTGGTGGGGTGGTGGTGGTGGTGGTGGTGGAGGAGGTAGGGAGTGAGTGAATGTGTGGTGTGACCGGCGGTTATCTATCGCAGGTCGTCATGGATGCGCATGTGGCCGAAGAGACCCATGCGATGCCTGAAAGTGCGAGGGTAGTGTGGGCAGTTGAGACGAGCTTGGTGGGTATAGGTGGGTGCTCCAGGCACTGGTTCGCCAGTCTCTGTGCGATGGATTCGCAAGTGACCGACCAGGCCGATGCGTGAGGTGAATGTGCGTGGACAGTGTGGGCATAAGAAGTCGGCGGTGTCAGTGTCAGCTACAGAGGAGGCGGTGGTGGTGGTGGTGGCGCGGACGGATGGAGCGAGGGTGGGGTGTGCACGGTGGATGTGGTGGGTGTGTCGGAAGTGCGGTCAAGGCCGCTCTCGTGTATGCGCATGTGGCCGAAAAGGCCCATGCGATGCCGGAAGGTGCGAGGGCAGTGTGGGCAGTGGAGGCGAGTGCGGTGGGTGTAGGTTGGTGCGCCAGGCACTGGTTCGCCAGTCTCTGCGATGGCTTCGCAAGTGACCGACCAGACCGATGTGTGAGGTGAAGGTGCGGTCGCAGTAAGGGCAGGTGTAGTCCTGATCCTTATCGTTGGAGTCGGGGGAGGTGGTGGTAGTGTCGGTTGTTGTGCGCGGGACAGTCGCCTGAGCGGCCGCCGTTGGAGCTGTGGGCGAGGAGGAGGAGGGGGAGGATGATGGAAGTGGTGGGTTAGAAGAATTGTCAAAGTAAGTTGGCGGTGGAGAGGAGGAGGAGGAAGAGGCGGGCGGGGGGACGATGGTTGGTGCCGTTCGAGAGGCGCAGTTAATCCGAAGATGTCCAACAAGTCCGATTCGAGCCCGGAATGTCCGTTGACATCGAGGACACGTTGGAAGCGGTTGTGCGGCGGCGTTGCGTACTGGGCGAAGTTGTGATTTGCGGGCTTCACGTTTCGCTTTGGCGGCAGCGATGCGGTTGGCTTCGTAGATCGCAGCGCCTGTCTTCCCTGTCCTCCTCCAGGTCGGTCGATCGAGTGCGAGCTCCTCCCAGTTGGTGGGGTTGATTTGCAGGCGTTTCAGGCAGGACTTCAGGGTATCATTGTAACGGCGAATCTGGCCTCCTTGACGGCGAGAACCCGTCGCGACGTCTCCGTAGAAGAGTCGTTTGGGTAGTCGCTCGTCGTCCATGCGCACCAGGTGGCCGCTCCAGCGCAGCTGAATTTGCTTCAGCATGGTGTAGATGCTGAGGATTCCCGTCCGTTCCAGCACATCAGTGTCGGGGATTCGATCCTGCCAGTTCAGCCTCAGGATGCGACGAAGACAACTGAGGTGGAAGTGGTTCAGACGACGTGCCTGCTTTGCGTACACCGTCCAGGTCTCCGCTCCATACAGTAGTGTCGGCAGGATGACGGCCTTGTACATCTTCAGCTTCGTGCTCAGCCGAAAACCGTGACGATTCCAAACTGTGCTTTGGAGGCGACCGAAGGCTTGACTGGCTTTCAAGATCCTGTTGTCGACTTCGTCGTCGATCTTGGTGTTGCGGGAGAGAGTACTGCCCAGGTACGGGAAGTTCTCCAACACTTGCAGTTGGGTTCCGTTCACGCTGATTTGCGGCGGCGCGTTGGGGGCTGTGACTGAGTGGGGTGGCGGTTGGTGCATCACCACCGTCTGCTGCGTGTTAATGACCAGACCGAAGTTCTCGCAGGCGGCGGAGAACAGGTCCATGCTCCGTTGCATCTCCTCTTCTGAGGTGGTGTTCAGGGCGCAGTCGTCGGCGAAGAGCAGTTCGTGAACGGTGGTTGTGGATACGCGCGATTGGAAGTGCATCCGCCGTTGATTCAGGAGATGACCGTCCGTCCTGTAGGCGATGCGGATCCCGGGGGGGGGGGGCGTTCGTTGCGGTGGGCGTCCATCAGCATGGCAGAGAACATAAGACTGAAGAGGGTAGGCGCCAGCACGCAGCCCTGCTTCACTCCGTTGGCCACTGCGAATGCCTCCTGAGACAGCTCCGTTGTCCGTGACTCGTGCCATCATACCGTCGTGCAGCCGACGCACCATCTAAGTGAATCGCTCCGGGCGGTCGAATTTCTGCATGATCTTCCACAGTCCTTCACGATTCACCGTGTCGAAGGCTTTCTTCAGGTCCACGAAGGTAGAGTACAGGTGGGTCCGCATCTCCTGACACTTCTCCTGAAGTTGACGGGCGGAGAAGATTATATCCGTGGTCCCACGATGACGACGGAAGCCGCATTGGCTTTCCGGCAGAAGGCCCTGTTCCAGATGGTTGTTGAGGCGGTTGAGAAGGATGCGGGCGAAGATCTTCCCGGCGATGTTTAGCAAGGAGATGCCACGGTGATTGTCGCAGATTTGGCGATTCTCTTGTCGCTTTTAAAGATTCACGATGGTTGCGTCTTTGAAATCTTGCGGGACCTCGCCTTGACGCCACATCTGGAAGAGCGCAGTCAGGTGATCCATTAGTTGGGGACCTCCGTGCTTGTAGACCTCAACAGGGATTGCGTTTGATCCGGGTGCTTTCCCGCTGGAGAGCTGCTGCACGGCCCTGATGGTCTCCTGGAGAGATGGCGGGAGGTCGAGGTCCACGTTGGTCTCCACTTGCGGCAAACGCTCGATGGCGGCGTCGGAGATGACGGAAGGACGGTTGAGGACGCCTCGGAAATGCTCGGCCCATCGCTGTAGGATTTGCGTCTTCTTAGTCAGGAGAGTGTTGCCGTCGGCGCTGAGGAGAGGAGCAGTGCCCTTTGTCGGCGGACCGTCGACAGCTTTGATCGCGGAGAAGAAGTTCTTCCATTCGCTGCGGTCCGCGTAACCTTGGGTCTCCTCAGATTTGCGAGCAGTCCAGGCGTCCTGCATCTCGCGCAGTCATTGCTGAAGCTGGCGGCGACTGCGGTAGAAGGCAGCTTTGGTGGCATCCGTGGGGTGATCTACGTAGGCTTTGTGTAGGCGGTTCTTCTCAGCAAGCAGATTTCTGATGGCGGCGTCGTTGTCGTCGAACCAGTCCTGGTGTTGGCGGGGAGCGCGACCGAAGACGGCGAGCGCTGTCGACTGGACCGTGTCTCGCAGTTGACACCAGCGGTTCTCCACGGAGGCGTTCTCGGCAGCGGCGGCATTGGCGGCGGCAGCGATAGGAAGGTTGTCTAGCCTTTGAGCTAGCTCATTGCTGAAATGAAGATGGTGAGCGGGCAAAGACAACAAGGCAACATTTAACGTACCTGGGGGTCGCTTACCTTGTGGTCTCCTGCGAGGCTGTAGGCGAATACGCATCTTCGAGATGACGAGGCGATGGTCGGTCCACCCGTCAGCGCCCGCGATCGCCTTTGTCACCAGCACGTCCCGTTGATCTCGCCTCCGGACGAGGACATAGTTCAGCAGGTGCCACTGGCGCGACCGAGGATGCCTCCAGGTGGCCTTCTCTCGCTCCGGCAGACAGAAGAAGGTGTTCGTTAGGATGAGGCGGTGTTCTGCGCAGGTGCGGAGAAGCAGCAGACCATTGCCGTTTGAGCCGCGGAGACCGTGGGGACCCAGCACTCCTCTCCAAGCAGTATGGTCTGTGCCGACGCGGGCGTTGAAGTCACCAAGGACAATCAACTTGTCCGCCTTCGACACAGTCGCCAAGAGGGCGTGCAGGTCCTCGTAGGATTTGTCCATGACGGCGTCGGGGTTGGTCATCGTCGGAGCGTAGGCGCTGAATATGGTGGCGAATTTGCCCCCACCCCGGCGGAGAGGCAGACGGAGGCTCATCAGGCGATCGTTGATGCCCTGCGGCAAACAGGGCAGTCGTCCCACGATGTCGTTCCGAATGGCGAAGGCGACGCCCGCGTCCCGTCGCTCTGCCCTGGGTCGACCGCTCCAGAAGAAGGTGTAGCCGGCACCCACCTCCTCCAGTTGGCCTTGTTCGGAGAATCGGGTCTCGCTGAGTGCGGCGATGTCCACCTTGTAGCGCGCCAGTTCTCGTGCCACTAGCGCCGTCCTCCGTTCCGTTCGGTTGCTCCTCGGATTGTCTAAAAGGGAACGAACATTCCAGGCTGCCAGAGTGAGCGGGCTCACCCTGCCAGTCTGGTGACAACGAGTGGGGCGATGAGAAGGAGATGGAGAAGAAAGTGACGAAGGAGAAGAATAGGCAGAGGAAGAGGAAGAAGAGGTAGGTTGAGGAGAATGAGTATGGTTGTTGTTGTTATCGGTATTGTTGATGTTTCGATTTTGATTGTTTCGACCATGATTAGACGTCTGCGACTCTGGCTAGCCTGGAGACGGCGTGGTACCCAGCAGTGTTTAGGCCACCTTTTCTAGGCCCTTCCCCTCGTGGGGGCAGGCAGTGCCATCCCTGAATAGGGCTGCCATGTGCCGTTGTGGCACTGCCGAACTCCACTATGGGACCACGACTTCGGGTTGTAGTGGAGAGCGACTCGAATTCGCCGTAAGCCGCGGTCTCCGACGGCGTAGGTGGGCGCGTCAAGGCGATGGCGATGTGGAAATCCATCCCGTCACCGGCTGTCCAGCGGCATGCAGAGACGAACCATGTCACGACGGTGCCGACGCAAGGTTCCATCCGACCTTCCATCCTGCGGAATCCGCAAACCCTGTGCACAGGGCACAGCGCACAGGGCCCCCTCACCTGGTTTAGCCCGCCGGTCGAGACGGTTGCCCGGGGTGTGGCCGCTGAGCAGAGCCCAGCTACGTGGAGCCACAGGTGAGAGTTGAGTGCCAGCAAGTGGACGCTAGACGCAGTCTCACCTGCAAGCAAGTGAGCGACCACCACGACCATTACGTGAACCCACCGCTGACACCCCTACACCCCATGGTTAGTGGTAGTCACAGTCCGAATGGTTAATGGAGTTCGGCGGAGGCCGTGCAGTGGAATGCCGGTTGGAACGATGGCTTCTTGGATGCTTGTCCGCAGCTGCAGAACAAAAGGTCATGCTAACCGACGTCCTGTTTATGCTTCACAAGACGAGAATGAATTCAGCGACACTCAAGAGCAACCGGCGCACGGTATACGGTAAGCAACGTAACTTCTCCGATAGCTTATGACAACGCAGCGTGGGATCATTCCCGAATGCCTTCTTACTAAGCGTCTGTCCGCATCTTCTGAAAAGCCCATCCTTATTTTTGGCTTTTGATAAATGTGTCTATGTCTGACACCCCCTCAATCTATTTGTTTTCACATAGTATGTTTCTCGCATACTCAGATTATCCGTCCATACGTTTGGGGAGGGGGGAGGGGCGGATCCTACTCGCTATGGTCGACATACATCGAGCCAAGTTTTTTGGTTTAAGTGCCGTAAACAGGATATTTTTTATCCCATCTACCTCTTTTTTAGGACGATCTTGAAAATTATGCACAGAAGACAGCGATAACGTCGCTGTCCTCTATTCTGCCAAATATGTCATCAATTTTGAGTCTGTAACATTGCGCTTTCTCCATGCGATCTATTCGCAGCTCCTCAGCCCCGTGATCTTCTTGGGTTGTTGTGAGTAGTGTCGTATAGCTCGGGAGTTACGATTAAGAGCGACGAGCGACGAATACGCGATGGCTAATACTGAGAAATGAAATGGAGCCTGGATTCTTTGCTCTCATGAAGCAAGAAGTCTAACAGCAAATTCCAGATTCCGGTCTGGGATTTGGGGTTTGGATGGTTGACGAGAGCAGAGAGCGACGCTTCCATGCTGCATTCTAAGGGCGAGGACGCTCCCGTCATTTGTAAGTAGATCGGGAGTCAGATCGGCGTGTGGCAGGAGTTATTGGAGTGCACACCCATAACAAATATCAACATTCGGGGTGTGGTGGCGCGCCGAGGCGCAGGCTCCCGCCGCACTGGTTATGATCCAAGCCGCCACTCCCTTGTCTTGTCGTGTAAAATCCTACTCAGGTTGGAGGGTGGGGGGGGGGTTGATACGGCTGCGATCATGCCTGATCTAGCCGGCCTCGATGATGTCATAAACTGTACCTCTCCACGCGTGTGAAGATCCGCGGCAGCAGATCCGCGGACAGCTCCACCCATTCCCTACGCCAACGACGTAGACCGAATACCGAAGGTCCAGGAACTACCTCCATGTCTTGACGAACTGTTTCGAGCAAGGTTTTGAACTGACCTCCTCTTCGACGCCTCCAATGGGGCAACGGTGCCGGATCGAGGGCAGTAATACTGAGCTCCTGAGGTGGACGACGAAGAACATGCCTGAACCAGCTTAGTCGTCTTTCTTGGATGGCCTGAATTATCCTTGCGAGGTTGTTGCAGCGAGTGCGGGCTGTCTCATTTGAGACGAAGTCGGTGAACTACACTCGAAGGATGGTCCTCAAGCAGTGATGGTCAAATACCTTCAGTTTTCGCTCGTTCTCCACGCGCAAAACCCAGCACTCACAACCATAAAGAAGGACAGACCGGATAGATGCACGGTAAACGCGAATTTTGGTGGCACTGGAGAGGTCACGTCGGATCCATTGGCCTTTCCGAAGGCTTGAGAAAATCCAGCGGGCTGCATGGATTTGGGAGACGATGTCGTCCTTACTCTGTCCATTAAGCAGCAGCCTCGCCCCGAGGTATTTAAAACTGTCTACTTCTTCAGGTTGACAGCTATCAATCCCGAGGGGTGCCTTGTTCTGGTCAGGAATGCGACTTGCAGTGTACGTTGTGTACCAAGCGGTGTGTTATTATGCCTAGGTGCAGGTTTTCGCATTCTGTTATGACGTCAGGTCCAGGTGGGGAGGAAGAGGAGAAAGTGCGACAAATTCTACGCAAGCCTGCAACTACTACGATCTAATTGTGGGGTTAGGCATCCCAACCAATTTGACAAGTGCTCTAAAGCACAGCTGGAATGGGGAAGAACTTGGTTTGCCGTTGAGCCTAAAACGTACGCTTTTCCGGGAGAATCGCTCGTAACCGTTTTAATTATTCTGGAAATTATTCGGAACAACTAAAACACCTAAAAGTCCATCTCTGTTTCATCTTCACCTGAAAATTCACGCACGACTGACATGCAGAACGACAACCAATCTTTGCATGAAGCATTATTTTTGGGGTACGCTTAACGCCTCATTTTAGCGGTCGCCGCATAGTTACTCTCTTTACACCAGCCGTTTTGTGAATCCCTGGTAATCTATAAAATTCCCCTTGTATGTCAATGGTTTTTAGTTCTTCGAATTCGAACGCAGCGAGGATTCACAACTCACCGTGCCAGCGTGCCTCCTGACTGACAAGACGTCTACGGCATCATCCGAGGAGACGCCGAGCACTAACGTCCCATTCTTCCTGCTGCAGTCGGGAAAAGGACAACTAACCTTCAAGCGCTCTCTTTTCTCTGAAGAATCGACTTCTCCCCCCTTTTCGGTTAGTTGAGCCCCCTCCGCCGCCTTGATTTGCTGTTCGTTCATGTGTATATGAAGGGCCGAAGACTGCCATACCATTTGGTGGTTGCCGTTGGTGTGTCCCTCTTAGGACCGGGGGGGGGGGAGGAAGGGTGGGATAGGTATGGAAGGTATAGTAAGTAAGCGTATACCTGAGACCCCATTGTTTGACCCTCACGACCAATGTGGTCTTCATCGGGTGCGCGCAGTCGTGAACCGCGCATAAATTTGCTGTCTTATCCCTTCTTCTCACTCCCATCGCGTTCGAATGTCAGGACAACCCCTTTTGAGAATTATAAGCCGATGAAAAAGCCCGGCAGCCCATCTACACGTGCCACACACAAGCCGATCCCTAACTTCACACCTCTACCGGCCTTTGCTCAGGGGTGGGGGCTAGGCTTCTGATCTCGGATAAGTGAGACTGCCCAAGTTACAAAGCGACCCCTGCAGCCTTACCCTCAGTTCTCTGTCGGACCGGGTTATCTCGTCAGTTAGCAAACTTCTAAGC